TCGCTGTCACACACGGCTTATTCGCATTCACATCCTCCTCTTCCCGCTATGTTTGCTCCTGTAATTCTCTCCTTTCTCCCTGACAGAGGAATTTAAAGGCACAGAGGAGTATCCACTATAGGAGAAATCAAGAAACGTTGCACCAGCTATGTGGACCCGGTGACCATGAATTATACATGCGTCAGGGGGTGGTGGTGAGGAGGTGGGCTACAAATTTGTCAGAATAAATGCATTAAGTGCATACTTGCAAAACCCCATAATATTATCAGTCACAATTCAAGGTTACCAAACATGCAAGGAGCAAATTATTCATTCCCATACAAAGCATAGTGATGAGGCTGAATAAGTGCTGAGAGCGACAGAAGGAGTTGGGTTTGGGTACGCAGGAGGCTTTTCTCTCTGTGAGAGTTTGTGTGTGGGGTATTTAATTAGGAAGCTGTCTGTGTGGAGAGAAAAGTCCATCTTATGATCCGTAGAAAGCCCGTCACTGTGCCTCTGCACTGTTGTATCTGTCCTGTATCTACCATGCCAACCTTTGGAAAGTATGAAGACACATTTATGAATACTGTTTTATTAACATGATTTAAATAACTACATTGGTTCAAAGTGATGAAATTAAAGACTTTTTAGAGAACTTTCTAGCCTCTTTTAGCACCATTTTATACAGTGCAGTTTAATAAACCAATTACTCATTTGGCTGTTTTTCTGCCCCCTTGTGGCCAAAAAATCCAATAATACAGTTTGAAGAAAAAAATCCACCATGAAAAATAGTTCTATGTGAGAAGTATCCTGCATTGCTGGACCCATTCAGATATTTGGTTGTGTATTTGTCTTATTCCTGTCCTAGGTAGTAAAGTCTTCATATTTTACAACTATGAAAACCACCAAGTGATGCACGGAACTAAGGTTTAGCTTTAGATACCGAGACGTTATCTTCAGACAGCGAGCACCAACACGACACCAGAGAACTCAGAGGAATCATGCAGCCGAAGACTGCTGTGGCTCTAACACGGAGGTGATTGCCCAACTCGACTGAATGAGTGTTAGTGAGAGAAGAACACAGAACTTTATAACGACGTCGACAAAGAAACTATTTAAAGTGAATCAATCCCGTCATGGTCGTTACCCAATCCACTGAAGGGGTCACAAGGATGGCTGAATCCATCCCACCAGCACTAATCACTGATGCCATATATATATACATATATAATATAATATATGGATATATATCTATATATCCATATATAACATAATATAATGTATACATATATAATATAATATATGGATATATATATATATCTATATATCCATATATAATCCCAATGCAACGAGGTCGTGTAGATGTCAAAGGTTGACTCGGACCATCACGTATTGCAGAGAAAGAGAATGGAAGAGAACAAGAGAAGAACACAGACCAGGAATGTAGTAATGTCGACGGGTTAAAGCGGTCGGAGGGTATTCTTTGCCTCTGAAGATTGGATCACTCTACTGCAATGAATAATAAAGCCAAGTACTGAAGGACTACTTTAAACATCTATTCAACTGGACTGCAAAGTTAATCAGTCAGTAATTACCCATAGAACGGTAATCAGCAGTCAGCTTACTCTCAAACCTGCAATCACTTCTGGGTAACTTTTCTCTGGAGTCCTCAAAACATGAAATAGAAATGTCTCTTTAGCTGCGATGAGTGATTTCAATCTCTTTCCTGACAAACAACCAAAGCATGACCATCGACTGTATCAAATAAACAATGGTGTGAAAACAGCTGAATAAGAATAGAAATGATTTCTTTATGAACGGATTTTCATTTTGTATCACATCTGACGTTTAGTTTGTGGAGTTCTCACTTGTTTGTTCTGCTTTTCATCACGCATGACTCTCTCGATTGTTGTAAACATGTATCACATCCATCACTTCTCCAGTAACAATGAAACGCTGCCGTTTGAACAATGACTTGACTTTCTGATGGTGTATTTTCTTTCCCCCCACTAAGTGTAACTGATGACAGCTACCACTTTGAAACAAATTACACAATCATCTGCTTGCCAAGACAGGCTGATGTAAGATCCAAAGTGGATGCCCTTCTCCGTCTGCTGGGCCTCTTTACAGGACATGGTTCTGGCTCCCCAGCCTGATGAATCTCCTGCACAGTCGCAGCAGTCTTTGCGAAGGACCCCTGCAGTGCAGCGCATCCTCAAATTGTTCACACCTTCCCTCCACGACTGCTGCCCCTGTGATGAAGCAATCACCAAAAAGTCATGCTGGGAAAAATAAGCATACCGCTCTCAAGTAGTGGGCCGTTCATATTTATGATCATCACTTCTTGCAGCCAATCACCGCCGTGGATGGAACACTATTCACAACGTTAAAAAAGTACAAACGCTCCGCCATGCCTCAGATGGAAAGGTAGGCTGTGTTCATTTGCTGCCTACCACTTAGAGAAAAATAATATGCAGAATAAACTGGTCAAATTATTACAGTCATGATTGCAAAATGTTCAGAGCCGTGTGCGCAAATAATCACTGAAGCGTCACAAGACTGAGCAGCAAATATGATCATTTCAATCTGGAGTAAATAGACGCTTGGTTGTTGTTTTCAACCCCTGCACGTTAACAAAATGCAAAAAACACAGCATGCTAATGTAGCATACACACACTTCATCAGACAGAGACATTCATTAGACTGGACAGATATTACTGCAGCCCCCGGACACCACGGCATTTTAAAAGCCTGGTTTGGCCTGGAAAGTTATGGAGAAGCATGTTTGTGTTTGAGCAGGACAACAAGTAAACGTCACAATGCAATTGAGTGAAAACAGGTAAAATGATAAAGATAGAAGCTTAAGGCTACAGATCAGTGTTCCTGTAAAGCCGGGTAGGTCTTTAGTCACCGTTACAATTATCAGAAAGCAAAAGCAGTGTTTACATCCAGCAGCTAGCGTAGCCCTGAAGTCCTAACACTAGTTCATGATGTGCTAACGTACACGGCTAACGTTAGCTCCGCAGGGTTTTACATACAAACGTATATCTCCTTCCCGGTAACGAGAACTCAGCCGAGGGTCACTTGCTTTGAAGCGGTCCATAGCCGTTCTACACACACACACACACACACACACACACACACACACACACACACACCTGAGAGCGAGTGCTGCTGATAAGCGTGCTAAAGGACACTTTGGTACATTTCTGAGGTGCAAAATGACTTTACTCACATCTGAGTGCTCTTCGAGCAACAAAACATCAAAATGAAAGCCATTAACAAAAGCGTTTCTTAATGGGTTTGATGTTCTACTTTATATTCAAATGGTGCTGCTCTGCTCTGCATGACAAAGGAGACAACACAGAAAATACATCAGATGATTTGACTTGACAAACATGTTGTCCGGCGTCTTATCCTCACATTTCTGCAGCTCAGATTTAGAAGCTAATTCTGATATTTACCACTTCTCCCCCTGAAGAATCGCTCAGGTGCTCTCAGACCAACATTTCTGACAACACTTTTAAGACTCATTTGCCCAATCCACTTTGATTCCCCGGTGTGGATCCAAACCGACCACCTCGTCTTCCCATCTCTAACCTTCAGGCTAAAGCTGCTTCAGTTCCTTTGATCCCCCCTCTCTCCTGCCTCCCTGTGTGGCTGATGGATGGGATGAGGAGGCCCTGGGTAAGAGACTCTCTGCCATTTTCACACATCTGTTTGACAAGGTGAGAATATCTGCAGAGAGAAGACTAGGACTGACTGAGTCCCTTCCTCACATCCTGCTTTCACTTACCCACCCGGCTCATGTCTTGAGTGACAGCACAGCATGGTGACACGCGCTTTACATATAATGTGAAATGTGAGGGGAGACAGGCGGGGGGGGGGGGATAAGAGCATCACATGATTTAGGGGAAGTGGGGCGGACAGGAGTGCTGCACCTGTGTTTGTGTTCAGGGTTCAAGGTGGTGGAACAGCTTGTCTGGGAGCCCCAGAATTTCCAATGTACTTCCAGCATGCAAGGCTGCTTCCAGTGGGCCTCATGAGTGGCTGCAATCACAGCTGCATCACAGGGAAATGGAGTCTGAGATGTGGAGCTGTCATCGTCAAGGCTATAAATCTCACAAATACAAATCTCTCCGTCCATACGTCCTGATTCCAGCCCGCTATGCTCTGCAGGAAGGTGGGCTTTTCCTCTCCGTGGTGAGGGAATCTTACAGAACAGAGTGTAGAGTTTGTACCACGGATGAATTTTAAATTAGACCAGCGGAAAACAGCTCTGACATTAGAAATGACTTGCACCAGCTGGCACAATGAGGAGCGTACAGGTAGCATGATTAATAGATTTGGGTAGAGAAAAAGCTGAGTGTGTGCGCGTGTGCGTGTGTGTTCGTGTGTGTGCAATGCTGGTGGACATTGCACATGATTCCAGTCCGCTCCGCACGCATACAGCCAAACACAGCTCACCTGCAGGGGCAGGTGCATAAGCGCGCGCGCGCACACAAACACTTTGACACACACTTGTCTGCATTGGCATTTTTTCGCAGTCAAACTGGGGACCAGCAGCCGTGGCTCTCGTTCCTCCCGTAATCTGATCTGATCAGTCTGCAGTTAGGGAATCATGTGCATATGTATGCTGCCTACGAGGCTGAGAAGAGACTTGCAAGCAGCTCTTGAGTGGAGAAAATCCGGGGAGAGCCGCCGCTTCCCCGCTGTCAGCGGCAGTCGCCCTTCAGATCCTATTTGGCAGTCTCTGTGTGGTCTTATAAACCAGTACACTGCTCTGTGCGGGACCCTGTAGTGCATCCGTTCACATTAACTGGCTGGTCTTGCAGATAAAGAAATATCTCATCATGCAACTTTGACCAAAAAAAAGCAAGCGAATAAAGGACTCGTTAAAGAACAGTTGCGCTAATGATCACAGGTCTAATAGGAGCAGCAGCGACCTTCCGCAGAACAACGCATTCATTTTGCACAAGTTCAACTGTACTGTATTACGTTCCAGGTGTTGTTCAACTTACCGATCAGAGCCAGCTGTAAGAAGTACAGTCCGAGGAAGTCCATTATGGAGTGCGACATAAATTCAAATGGATGCAAATCCCGGGCGAGCGATGATGCGCGAGGATAAAAACCCTCTGTTTGTTGGAACTGGCACCGAAATGAGGACCGAAAGAATCGCAGCTATTTCTCAAGTGATGACTGGTCACTTACGCTGACGCCGGAATCCACAGCAGCGCATGAAACAACAGGAGCGCAGCAGAGCATCATTTTTTAACAGTCAAACTTTTGTCATGGAGGAAAAACGGGTTTCAGCTGCGCCAAATAGAGTCAGTGGCGCCAAATCAATGCAACACCAGAGGGGTGGAGAAATACAAAAAAATAAAAACAGTTTGTTCCTTAGGTGGAATAAATCTGGCGCGTATTGAACATCCCTGGCCGTTTCATCTGTCCGTCCCGAGCGGCTGCTTCCTCTCTCCTCTTCGCCTCCACCTGCGCACCGTCTGGAAACTGCGGATGAATCACAGGGGCGCGTAGCTTTGCGCACTCCGACCTGCGAGTCACACAGTGCTGTACTCCTCTGCTCCCAGGCGGGTCCGGCCGGAGATGCCCAGCCCAGCTCGTTTAAAAATCCAATCTTGGCCAAAGTTGAAATAGGACAAGTTAAATCGATAGCCTATTTCATACTGCCATAAAATGGAAACAATAAACCTGCGTACAATGGTGCATAGGGTGGGTGGACCGTATCCACACTTCTCGGAAAGTAGGTTATTCCCCCTAAAAAAGAGAAACTACCACAGTCGACTTGCATGAGAATCATTGATTTGGAGGAAGTTGAGAAAATATTTGAGGGGCCCTACAGCAGCAGCAGCAGCAGCAGCAGCAGCAGCACAGGAGGAGCAGACAGTACAAACAGACCCAGACTGACTCACAGTGTCTGTGCCTCTTCATGGTGAAAATGAAGGGACCATCTTGCATCCAGCATGGTCTGTTTGAGGCTACCTGCTGTCTAATGTGCTCATGCTGGTCTCCTTCAGAAGAACAGAACAAAGGACAATCTATTTAGATCTGGGTTTAGAGGGAAACGGGTCCGATTGACGTCCGAGTCGAGCTGTTCGATTATTATTATTATTTTGAGACACAGCCTACTTTTTATCTGTAAGACATGTTTTTGCCATACACCAGAATAACTGGATTACGTCCGTAGAAGCAGCACTCCATAAATCATGGAGAATATTTAAATTCTTCATACTGACAGCTGTTATGGGTGCTTTTCTTACTTTTTTCCTGTTAAAGCCTGAATTATTTTCAAGCCGTTAAACTCACACTCTGGATGAGAAATTAATTTTTGAGCGGTCTCTCTGTTGGGAGTTGTTTTGCCTCCTCGAGCTTATTTTTGGAGTTTTTACAGCATCTCCGGGACACTTTCATCCAAAACCTTGTTTGTGCAGTATATGTAAAAACGGCTGACACTCACAGAACCGTGGGAAGGATCATACGCTGTTTCTGAAGAAGCTGCACAACCTTAAACTTCTGTTCAGTTGTGTGTTTTTCCTGAGGAGAGTGGGCAGTGTGCTCCATCAGGAGTTGCTTGTACTGAGACAGTAGGAAGGTTCAGAGGAGAGATACTGCAGCAGCAAGTGTTCTGGAAACTTTTATCACATTTGCAGAAATTTGTCTTGAAGCCTGAAGCCCACTTTGAATTACTTACTGATCACAACACAGGTACACTCTCAGTATCATTTCATTTTGAAAATGAATATGTCATGATTATATACATTCTGTGATGGTTTGCGACTCCATACTGTAGTCTGCTGTTAAACATGTCAATCTGGTTTATGGACATCTTATGGTCATTTGATAACGTCAAACATTATTATTTTAGAAAATGATAAAAAGAAATGTAATACTGGTCAGTCAATGACATTTTCTGTGCGTTGACCAGAGAAGAGACGGGCAGCAAAGAAGAAAGGACAGCAACACTCAAGTGTCCCAAGATGACGTCTGTCATTAGTTTCAGACCAACAGTCCCTCCACATGTGAATGCAGACCGGCCAATCATAGCGCAGCATCGGCCAGCTCCGACAGCTAACCGGCTGTGCTACATTCAGGCTCTCATGTAATCGTTTCAGATGTTCCTTATTTTTGTTCTTCCACAGGCCGATGCATCGGAGATGGAAAGCTGCCACACACTTACAGCGTGTTCCTCATTCGTCGACCAGACGACAGACTCAACCACAAGGCATCAGGAGTCGCTGGCGGACGGCTAACAACAACAATAACCGTCTTCAACACAGGAAAATCACAGAAAACAGTCAGTGTTGGATTAATCGTTATGGATGTTGTCCCCAAGAAGACAGTGCAGTTCAAAGCTGGATTACAAAGCTTCTGAAAGGGATCTGAACATCGAAACGGCACAAACGTTAAAGAAAGTCTCTTGCATGCAGCATCAGAGGTATTAAATATGTGGTCTGAAGCCTACAGTATAGTAGGCTACAAGTTATATATTAGTGCAAAGCAAGCGGGTGTGTTTGGATGGGAGACGTGCAGCATTAGTAAATACCTGAAATGAAGTCACATTAAGAAGTAGAAATACGGCCTTGGGGTCGTATGCCTCAGCCAATGTCTACGTCTGTCCAAATGTCACCAGATATAGTGAGTTCAATCTCAAGGGAAAGTGAACATTTTGTTTATTTCTCGTAGCTGACGGGAGGAGGAAGTACAATCACACATGACCTGAACAAGCAGTTAAACTCATAGAAGCTGCAGAAAATAATAATACAATGCATTTATAATAATTATTTGAATTTGTGTTTTAACTGTTCTTAATAGAACAACAACAACAGTGCTTCACTACATCTGCTGTAGTTTGCGTATGTTTCAACATCTCAGTGCTCTAAGAAGTGACCTGATGATATGGTTTCCTGTCCTTCTTGGCGCTGCTCATCTGACTCCTACTTTCAAATATGATAAGATCTGGACTTAAACTCCTTCTCTTATCTTCTGTAATTGGACATTGGAACGTTTACATTATGGCTCTGTGGACACTGGAGATGCAGCACATCTTGGCATGAGTCTGTGTGCTACTCCTGCAGCGGTTTCCTTCTCTGTGTCTGACTGTAGTGTGGGAGGGAGGTTTTGATATGTGGTTATAGTGTTTTATGCTTGTGTTGTTTGTATATTCAATTTAAAAAATAATTTACATTTATGGAATTCAGCTTCAAAGAAGAATTTGGAAGCTTGAGAGTGTAACGACAAAGAAAAACAGCTTTATTTCCCCAGAAATCCTGTGGATGTGTAATGTACAGTAATGCCAGTAAACTGCACACAAAATGCTGAAAAGCATTAACTGTGTACCAAAGCACACAAGAGTAGAAAGATGTATACTGTAGTTGGTCACACTCATCTCCTCTGCACAATGTGTGCTTTCGCTGTTTGGACTCCGTTCTTAAATTTCAATCACTTCCTACGAATAGAAAGGAGACCGTACCAAATAACAGTTTCATTAGTGCAGTCACGATGAATGTGTGAGACGTCTTTATGTCCCGTTTTATGTTAAAACAAGTGTATTCACAACACGCTTGCCAAGTGCAGATTTAACAAGAAGGAACACAAAGAAAATGCTTCTTTTTTACAGCGGCACCAGAGGGGGAGTAAATGTCTGAGGCTTGGATTTGTACCCTGGCGGTGGTCCAGCAGCGCATCCACTGAGCAGCTCCACAGCAGCAGCAGCAGCAGCAGCAGCTGGTAGTTATATGCCTTGCTCAAGGGCAAACTGGCTGCCGTTGCTGTCGGAGAGCAGAACAATGCTTATTCAGGTCTCTGGTTTACCCAGAAGGTTATGAAAGTGCAACCTAACCTTACCCCTCTCCCCTCTCCTAACACTCCTGCATTACAGAGCGTGCCAAAAAAGATGGTGTATTGATTCCCTACCTCTATCAACCCCCCCCCGACTGCTTTGGATCGAATCCGTCCAGAGATTTCTCTCCTGTGTCTCCACCTCCGCTCACACTCTGTGTCCCACTCAAAAAGCTTTTCCCTTAAAAATGTGTGTGGAGCTGGTGTCATAAGCCGGGGGGAGAGGATGAGGGACAGCCTCCTGCTGGGCTGGTCGTGAAGCGGGAGAAAAGTCTTACCGTGGGCTGATGTAGAAGCGCTAATGCATTCAAATGAATGCCGGCTCCTGAGCCTGTGTTTGCCTGCTGAGACACAGATGTCTCGCTGAGACACATGGCGAGGGAAATTACAGGGACAGGCAGAGAAGAGAAGAGGGAGAGAAAGAGAGACAATATTGACCCGTAATGGGGCTGAATCAAAACGTCGGAAACAGCTTTCAAGGCCAGAGAGCATAAAGACTTCCCGGGGAAATGAAGGTACAGTTACATGACAATGTCACAAGGCCGTCTGCAGCACAATACTCTGCTCTCCGTTATCGTCACATCGTCTCCCTCACACCTGCTTTCGCCTCCTCTTTGCCATTTCAACCAAGCAATACACCATCTAGAATTATTCAGAGAAATACTATATAATTCATGGCCTCTGCCCGGTTACACAACAGTCCGACGTTTTTACCGTTGAGGGCAACATGTAGTGCACATTAGTGCACTACAGACCACCTCTCAGCTGAAGCGGGAATCGCAGTGCTAGCGGTACCAGCGTCTGGTCTACGAGCGGTTCAGCCGACTTCTCCGACACATTATGCGTCGTGCTGCTGTGCCTTCCTTTTTCCATCCCCCTTCTCCATTCCCATTACTTATTCATTTTGAGTAAAGACTAGGTTTGCACCACTCTACAGGCTGCAATGCTGTTTTTCTGAGCTGCTCCGTCGCAGGCAATTTGGCCGACAACTCATTACGGAATAAAACTACTGACGCGTAATCACCGTGTTGCCGTCCTCTTCACTGTGACAGAGAGAGGTGAGCTGATTGGGGTTTGCAGACAGTTCGCAGGGAGATGGCTTTGATAGACGCGTCTAATTGAAAAGAAAAAAGAAATACTGCACCTTTCTTAAACTTCCTTAGAGCTGTTTTTACTCTCAACAATATCCACTGGTATCTGACCCCATGTGGTATCTTCATAGCCGTCCATAGAGGTGAACAAGGCAATAGTCTAGGGTGGCACTTTGGCAAGGTCGTCGAAATGTGGGCCAACTATTCATGAGCAAAATCGCTGAGTAACCAATAGCAGTAACTGCAGTCTCTCTCTAGGTTACACGCGCCAAGTAAGCACAATGATTGCTGAGGAAAGTAACTCCTGCTGCACCTGCAGCAGCCTCCCGTTCCCGCCCCCCTGCTCTCACGAGCCGACGGTAGTCTAGCCTCCTGACACCAAGCTCCATCGTCTTTAAGAAAAACCCAAACAAATGCAATGTGAGGATAAGGAAATACTGTCAATCTAGCTAGTGCTCTGATGTCAGATGAGAAAAAGTAAGCTTTATCTTATAGTCGTTTAAGTTGCAGTGGAAACTTGCCTGTGCACATTTCACTTGTGTGTGTTTAGCACAAAGGAGGAAGTGGTGTATAGAAGAGATCTGAACTGCTATTATTCCGTTCGAGGAGCTGAAATTGGAGTATTTGAAAAGTAGCTATACATGATTGATGCTGTCACGATTCTTCTGTAAACAATTTGGTCGAAGGTTACTGGAGCCATTATGCAGACCTGCGTTATCTGTCTATTGATAAGCGAAAGGCCTGCTTAGTTTAATATCGTTGACATGAAATGCATGGTATAATTACTTTATTTGTACAGCATCATTTCAAAGTGCTTCACAATAAAAACATCCAGAATCCGAGAGGAGAAAGAAGGTGGAGCAGTTACATGTACAAGCCTTATAGTAGAAGTCTTGAGAAGAGATTTAAAAGAGGATACTGAATGTGTCTCAGATCTCCAGG